AGTTAGGTTTGGAGGCTGGTTCTAGACCAGATTTACCACAGGGGACAGGATAGTTGGTGTTTTTCCATGGCGACACTTGAAAAAGAATGAAACAAAACAAAACAACACAAAAAAAAAACAGAGCAATATTTCATCATTTGATATAATAAGTGGGCCAAAGACCCACTTGCGTCTCCAGAGGTTCAGTTTGCAGATCCCTGGCAGATGGAAAGTGTGATAGTATCGCCATACAGCAGCTAAAGGTTCAGCACTATAATTTTTAAATCATTGCTAAAGTAAAACTGTGAAGGTTAAAAAAATCTACCACTGAGTATTAACATTAGACTTTATTTAGTATAACTTCTTTGGTACCCTGTTGGCCCCCATCTAATCGCCCATGGCTGCAGATCTGTATCTGGTGCATTAATGACCACTGAACAAAGAATTCATAATATATCAACATTTCAAAATAAAACCTACAGAAAGCCCTAACAAACCTTTTAAGTAGTAAGTATTTATGTATTTATTGTTAATCTAACGTATGATTTGTTCTTTAAATGAACATTTGTATTATTTTGGCTGATATTGTTATACATTAAATAAGCAAATAATCAATCAAACCAATATAAAAGCACAATAAAAACCTTAATCATAGCAACATGTTACCATATCAGGATCTGCTGTGTTCCTCTCCTGATCTATTCTGTCGTATCGCACTGCGCCACTTTTTTTTTAACTGCCTGTGTTCATCCTTACTAAACGCAGCCTGGGATTTGCGTTTTCCTTCTCACGTCAGTATCTTTACGAGAGGTTTTGGTTCTAAGGACGGTGGAGAATCGGACTGAGGACGTTTTAAAAAGAGGCGGATTGACAGCACCTCACCGCGGCTGCATAGTGTCTGTCTCTAGGCAACCGTGACAACAGCGTCGGTCCGTAGCATAGACATAATATAAAGGTAGCGTTCAGGGGTCCTTTAGCTCCCGCAACCAGAATTTAACTGACCTTAATATTTCCTGTTTTATTTTGGTCGTTATTTTTACACTTAGTAAATAATGTGTGTGATAGGCGAGTCTATCGGACATTTGTAGAATACGGAACAAATCGTGTCCCGTATCGGTTCAATACGGGACACAACATTTAACAGCCAAATACGGGACGATTCCGTATTTTAAGGGACGGGTGGCAGCCTTAGTTGTTACTATATTGTTGTATGGTGTTTTAAGATCTTGTTCAGTGTTCCCCCTTTTAACTTTGAGCCCCTGCCCCTCCAAAGTTTTCTGTATGGCCCTGCCTGCCTAGCTTCTAACAAAAAAGCAATTAAAAACTAAAGCTGCAAGCATCCTGGAGCGGCCCTCGCAGCTCAGCGCCGCTCCGGCCTATTGGCCACCGCGAGGGTTCCCGCACCGCCACCCGCCAGCCACCGCAGGCGCTCTCGCACAGTTCCCGCACCCGTCCGCCAGGACGTACTCATTGATGAGATCAGCAGTGCTCCCCGACGACGCACAAAATATCTGTTGCAGATTGGCCAATGTAGCGAGGAGATATCGCTGATGGATTAACTTAGGTGGCGCAGTGGAGTCAAATTGCAATTCAATGCTATTGGGCTCCATAGAGGTTCACAAGTTTCAATCATAAAAAGTTACGTGGAAATTCGATGATGAATGTATGATTTAGAGACGACTGTATGCATTTCTCCGTCGATCTCTTTGTCATTGGTGGAGTAATACTGACCCCCTAGTGACGAGGTACTGGTGTAGTTATTCATCATCTTTAGTTCTCTGAGTCTTCAGTTCTTTCTCTGAAAACTCCGTTTCCCGTCCATGTCTTTGTCATTGGTGGAGCAATACAGACCCCTGCTGGTGAATTACTGAAATAGCTTCTAAACAGTGACTGCTGATGAATGACGTACTTAATATTATTTTTAACCAAAACTAGTGAATCTTTGTACTCTAACTCACAAAACACAATTAGTAAAAAAAAAAAAATAAATAAAAACATATAACAATCTATATTTATATAATTATGTTAGCATGTCCTGGATGGATACAATGTTCTGTATTGCATGGGCTGCTTTTATATTTAAGGTTTTGGGAGAATGTATGTGTATCTGAACAGCTGGATTGATGCTTTATCTGGTGACTTATGTTGACATTAGCTGCACTGTGTTTTCATTAGCGGTCCCTGGTAAAGCACGCAACATCTCCTGCAGATCGGGCGATGTAGTGAGGAGATAAAGCTGATGGAATAACCTAGGGGTCTCAGTGGAGTCAAATCACAATTCTAAGGTGACTTCCTGTCGGAATGGGGCTAAGGTGATGTAATCAATTGACCACCTAAATGTGATGAGGACTGGTCTGTAGTGAGACATAGGAAGTCAAAGTTTGGCTCTTAGCCACGCCCACATGCTTTGATGTACAAAAAATCCTGTGTGTAGTGACCATTTGTCCCCAAACTTAAATTCAAAAATCAAAAAACTCAAAAACACGAAAGTGATCAAAACAAAAGTAAATCCAACTCAAATAGTCACCTGATGCACCGTGGATTCTGGTTTACGCAGCAAAAAAGGAGAATCAAAAGTCAAAATATAGTTCTTTGGTTTTATTTGCAGTTCAGGCAAAAGGGTTACAGGCTTCTGCTCCTATTCCTGTACCTGTTCTCTGACTGACAAAGAAACCGATGTGACTGATTGGCTGGTAAAAAACCTTATGACCACCCACGTGCATAATAAGCTACCTAAGGCCCATCTATTTATACTGTGAAATACCCACATCCCAACAGAAATTAATTAACTAATTATGGGAATTCCTGATCAAAGAAATTATAAACAACAAAACAAAAATTCTAATGATAAATCAACTGGAAAAAACAAACAAATAAGAATAAACTAAACAATTTAAATTCTAAGATTTAACCAAAAAATGGGAAAATAGCTCCTACACTCCAGCCCCTAATTGTGCATTAAGTCACAATTACATCAATCACTAAAGGAGCTATTCTAACAACAACCTCGATAATAATCTATATTAATGCAAAGACATTAAATAATTCTTCTGATTCTTAATTTTTTTTTTCCAATGATGAACCTGCAAGAGAAGCAAGAAAGAAAAGGATGGAAGGAGTAGAAGTGTCTTTAGTCTGCAGATGCCTCCAGAAGCAGACAGAGCTTTGTTACTGGCCTCTCCAACACACTGGTTTTGGTTTGAAGTTGTACTGAACGAACCAGGCCTTGTGCATCAGCTTTGACTGCCAGGACTCTCCCCATCTGCCAACACTGTGATAACCTTTGACCTTCAGTTTCTCAAGAGTGTGCTGAGTGAGTTTGAAGTCTATGTCAAAAGTTGCAGGAGGAGTTCAATCAGATGCAACGTCTATGAAAAACAGGAAATGACGGCTTTGATCCAAAATGGCCGACTTCCTGTTGAGTTTGCACCATGGCTCCAAGAGACTTTTTTTGTACGTCCTGACAAGATACACGTGTACCAAGTTTCATATTTGTAGGTTAAAGCATGGCTTGGGGCTGATCATTTAAAATATTCTAGGGGGCGCTTTAGAGAAATTCGACCATGCCCACCAAATGTTATTATGGATTCCTGTCAGGGAGGCCAAAAAGGATCCATTATAGTGAGTTTGGTGCAGCTTGGCTTGTAACTGTGGAATTTAGAGCTAAGCGTATGGCAATGGCGTTACAGGTCACGTCGCCTCTCCGCCATGGCCACGCCCTCCGTTGAAAACTCTTGCCACTTTAAAGCAAGTGAGACCAACTTGTTTTCTGTCATCCAACACAGAATCATCTTGATTAGGTCAAGAGAGCCAGAGATGGAGCTTTCCGAGGAAAAAAAAAGGCACTTCTTGTTCTGAGGGGGCGGGGCTTATATGACGTCATACTATGACAATATAGGATCGTAAGGGATCCAACCAGGATCACCCATGTCAAGTTTGGTGCAACTCGCTCAAAATTATGGAATCTAGAACCAAATGTATGTCAACGGTGGTATGGGTCACTTCGCTAAGCTGCCATGCCCACCTACTCTATCGAAACCAAACGGGATTTGAGTCCACAACACACCAACATGTCTTCTGTCTGTGGACACAGTTTCATGTTGATTAGGTCAAAGGGGTCAGATAGCGACCATTCACAGTAAAATATGACACTTCCTGTTCTCAGGGGGCGTGGCCTAAGGGATGTCATCATTTTACCATTGGGTATAGGGGACCCGATGATGATCAATCACTGAACGTTTGGTGTCTGTGAGTTTTTGTGTAGGAGTTATAACAGATTTGTGTTTTATTGTGAATACTTGAACCTTTAGGAAGCACAGCGACGCAAACCTGTGATAATTTTTAATTGGCCATGCCTTCTGAACGATCTGACCAAGTTTGAAGCCGATCAATCAAAATCCCTAGGAGGACTTCGATCAAACGCGAAGGCTGCAAACGGTCAAAATGGGGTCAAAATCGGAACTTCAATCCAAAATGGCCGACTTCCTGTATGCTTGCACTATGACATTAATTGTGGAGCTCTACAAGTGTACCAACTTTCATGTCTCTACGATGAAGTAAGGTAATAGGAAAGTGTCTTTTGAAAGTTGCCAGGTGGCGCCGTTGAGCCGTTTCTTTAACGATTTTTGCGACGACCTTAAAATATGTGAATTTTACACGGGCTCTATGCGTACGCCAAGTTTGGTGAGTTTTTGAATATGATAAAGCCTCCAAAATGCGCGTAAAGACGGTGGAATAATAATAATAATAATAATAATTAATAAACAGCACGATTTCAATAGGCTTTCGCAGCGCTTAGCTGCTCGGGCCTAATTATAAATACACACAATGTGTTGGCGAACAGTGTTTGGTGACTGACTTTTATTTGTCAGGCTAAAGTGAACATGACAAAAGTTGAAAAAAGACTGACTCTCTTGAAGATTAAATAATAGCACAAAATTTACTACCTCTCTGGCTGCAGAGAGAGCTCCAGACTCAAGAGGAACAGATTTTCCCAGGGAAACAGAATTTCGCACAAGATGGCCATGAAGTGGCGCACTGCTCCAAAAATCTATTTGCAAGCTGACCAGAAGAAGTGTACGTCACACACGGAAGTGTCAACATGGAGGACGGTAAAGAAGTTTCCACGAATTCACTTCTGAAAGATGGTGAGCTTGTCTTTTTTAACGAAACACACAAACTAACAATAAAAACAACAACAAAAAACGATACATGACGATAAAAAATGGATAGGGTTGCTGTGCTACATGGCTAACTTTTTCAGCTTCTGTACATGTTAAATTATTCTTCTCTTTCTGAGTAAGTGCAGCTTGTACCGTTTGGAATGGTTTTAGGGTCCTAATCGACACTCTCGTTCTTTTAATGCAGTGATCCACAGAAGCTACTCAGTTTTTTGACAGACCACCCGGGTTCTATCTCTGGTCTGCTGGATGCTGGTGGGAAAATGTAATAACCTACTGCTCTGTTTGCAGAGTGCTATTCGGATTTCCTGGACGAAGATTTTGACGTGAAGACGTACACAGCACAGGCTATCCATCATGCCGTCATCGCCGAGCAGTTGGCCAAGCTGGCACAGGGCATCAGCCAGCTTGACAAGGAGCTGCACAGCCAGGTACTAACATCCGCTTCATTCATATCACTCAGAAACCGGCTTTGACATTGCATCTGTTAAAACCCTTCGAAAACAAATGCACAAGTAGGGTCTATTAGCAACATTCACAACGTTTGTAAGTCATTACAAACTGTTTCATCTCATAGAGCATCAAATTAAGTTTTAAATAACACAAAGCTCATTCATGCAGGTTCCAAAATAACATGGCTTCACCTAAAAGCAGCAAGTGGTGTTTTTGGTATCTGTACATTACGCGAGTCTTTAAAACTTCTCAAAAGTGCTACCTATGGATAAAAAGCAATTTTTGAGGGGATGGGTCACTAATCAAGCAACTGGGAAGAAATGGCATAGAATGTCATGCTTAACCTTTTTAAGCATGACGGATGTCATGGCTTTCTCTACGTACATATTAGATTCATATTCTTACATCTCACTTGATTTTTATGTTTGATAGTCTTGATGCCTAGAAGTATAACTCATTTACTAATTATCTGTCGACCATTTAGAAAAGATATGCATTTTCACTCACTTATTGACCTCATCTTAAATAATTAAATACTGTTGACTGACTTCTTCTGTAGGAACACAATACAGTCTGTTGCTCTGTGGCAAATTCAGTTTTGACTTCAGTTTCATATCTCAATGGTACTTTTGAGTTACATCTGTGAAAATGATTTTATAATCCCTGTTAAAAATCTGGCATAAAGCTTCTCTTGGAGGAGGATCAGTCAGTTCTTTTGCTTAGAGTGAAATCAGATATGAGAAATAACTAATTATGCTATCAATCAACCAATTGATCATTAATTATCAGTATATCAACAACTGATATAATCTTTGTGTATGAGTTTAGTAAAAAACACGTAAAGGTATTTTGATGTGAAAATGTGGATTTTCTTGTCATTCTTTAATTTTGTGCTGGGTTCAGAATTCCACTTCTACCCATGAAGCTTGTGTACTTTTCCTTTATGGCTATTTATTTGTTTAAGTTTACACAAGTCAGTTTGTGTGTGTTGTAGCACCGAGAAGGAGAGGTCAGAATCAGTTCAAATAAAACTCGGCAGCTCAAAGAAATTCAGAAATCTGAATCAGGACTGATCACTGCGATTTTGCTCATCTCTTCTTCTGTAATTGACTGCTTCAATGTGATTTAGTTTATGAAGTTATGTTTTTCAAACTCAGAATTTGATAAGCATTTTGATAAGTTCTTATACTAAAATGACTAAACATTATTCATGCTTAGAAATTACATGATTTTAAGGTGGTCTGATTAGCATTGATTGCTTCATCCTAAAATCAAACTCCATCACAACAAACTAAATACCCCTTGGGTATTAGCTACCCCTTAGTTTTGCATTTCATCACTCTATGGAAATGAAGACTAAATTTCAATCAAGATTTGTGGATTGTGTGTGAAATTTTCCTTTCCTTCCAGGTTGTGGCAAGGCATGAAGACTTGTTGGCTCAGGCTACAGGGATCGAGTCTCTTGAAGGTATTTACCCACTTTTTTTTACTCTGCACTTTGCTTTTGGTTCCTGTAATTGTGAAATGGGTTCCCTCTCCCCAGTCTAAGTGGGAAGGGTGGGTCTCCATGCTTAGGCTACTGCTCCCACGAACTGATCCTAGATAAGCGGAAGATGATATCTAAATAACTAAGGAAGTATAGAAGTATGTTGCTGATTAGAGGTGTGCCGAGCGATCATAAATTTGAATATATTAGATATTTAGCATTCAAATACAAAAATACTTTACTGATCCCAAAAGGAAATCAAATGTTGACATGGCAATTCAAGATTGTTTGTGTGTGTAAAAAAGAGAATGTAGAAAATATTTAAAAATATTGCAGCACTTTAGTTATATTACATCCCTACAAAATAGATTTGAAAAACATCTTAATAAAACTGTGAGCCTTGATTGTTACCACCAGATGGAGGTAGTGCATTCTAATAAGTAAGCTCTTTAAATCTAATATTCTGAAAGACAAATCTTTTGTTATTTTCAGGGGTTCTTCAGATGATGCAGACAAGGATTAGTGCACTGCAAGCCGCTGTTGAGAGGTAAATAATCAACTGAATGATCAGTGTGTCTTAGATGGAATTTGGCTGTTGATCAATTGGAGCTGAGTTGAATCTCAAGGTTGAATGATCCCAGGAACTTGAAAGAACATACCAGCTGAACCAGAAACCATCAGGACCTGGATAAAGTCAGCTATTGACACTGTTTCAGATGCTGGAACACTATTGATGAAAACAATACATGTTTATATGCTACAGTTTGTGATCATTGGAGATCGCAATGTCTCTGTTGTGTTAATGAGTTTGTTCAATATTTGTGATCATTTTTTTTCACATGCAGTGAGCCGATGGAGTCTGTAGCTGACAGGTTCTTTAGAAATGAAGAAGCCATTTCTGCTTAGTGTAGAAAATATTCTACGGCCATACTACCTACAGTAGTCTTTAACTTCAGGGTTTTAAGTGCCACAAAGCTTCTCCACTTCATACCTGGATGCTCAGTCCCAATCTAAACGTTACTTCAAAGAGTAAAAGTTTCTCAGTTGAGTTAGAATCTCGGGTTCCAAGTATACTTTGTTGTCTTCAAGTGTTTGTTTTTTTAATATTTATTTTCTTTTATAGCCTTCTTGCTGCATAATAATGAAAACACTAGATAGGTTCTCTGTATACTGGAGAAGTTCCTGAGGTGGAAAACACCTGGATGATTGTCAGTTATAACAATTTTTTCTTTCCAGAATGAGGACAAAGATTGTTGATCCCTATAACAAGATTGTGGGCAGAATCACTCAGCTAGCCAGACTGCAGGTAAGTTTAAACATAATCTATCTGATTGTGAATTATGTTTTACAATGCTGCTAAAAAGTTGTTTTTCTGTTCCAAAGCATAGTAAGTCGTTAGGTTCTTACTATGTCTTGGATCAAATAAACATATCAGAGGGTGTGACTACGTCAACAAAATGAACTTGAATTCCCTTTGCACTCTGTCATAATCAAAAGATAAAACACATTGATCAAATATAATTGATTGATCTAACCTTCATCTCTTCTGTGTCCTGGAAATAGGTATTCCTCAGTTCAAGTAGCTTTCTTGGCATTTGCCACACATGCTTTTATTGGCCATCCTGGGGTCATACTATAAAACAATCAGGCTGAGATGTGAACTTGGATGGATTTGGTGCATCACTATATTTTGTGCAAAACTTGAATAATAAGGTTTACATGCAATCCTGAAGTTGTAATCTACTAAATGACTGCAGGGTGGCATAAAATTAATTGCTACATAACAAAAGACTTTTGATTCAGATATAGCAGTCATTCTGTCATCCCAGGCTGGGAATGGGCACTGAGCATAAGTATTAAGCCAGGGGAAGACAATTAAGATGTGGATGAAGACATAAAGAACAAATAGTGCTGGGGTTGGACAGAGAGTGGGTAGCGCAGATTGATTGGCCCCAGTTTCTTTAATTTTGGTTGTCAGTGATTGATCTTACATGTGAAACCATCTTTTCTACTTCTACAAGGAGGGTTGGGAATTGATAACTTATTGATACCAATTTCATTATCAATCTCACTTAGTGATTTAATTTCTTCTAATTTTCATTGAGTTGGGACATAAACTCTTTAATACAAACTATGAGTCATCTTGTATTCAATTCAAACAAAATTAAAGCTGGCTTAAAAAAATCCCTTTGTCAAATGAACATTTTAACATGAAATGCACATCAACAATTTTTGTGCAGACAAAACTGCATGTTTGCCTTTTCAAGGAGGATCTTTCAAGACTTAAGGTGTGTTCAACTGGAAAACACACCTTAAGTCTCTCAGATGTTATTTCATTTGAGAGGAAACGGCAATCCTTTCAGATGTTATTAATTTTCACTTGTGAAATTTTACTCCTACTTGCCTTTATGACAGACGTAACTTCAAAAGATGCTTTTAGCCTAACAAACGAGCTTCATCAGAAACCAGATTCTAATTCTTTGACTATGACTGTAATTGTTGATGGATATTATTTATACACTTTGCCGCTAACATTACTACAATAACCAGGACGCAGCGGAGTTTAGTTACTCAGGACATTCACTGCAGGAGATGCTGTGCTTGCAGGTTTCCCCACCCCTCACTCGAGAGTCACTGCTGTCACTAAGCAGTAAGCAACATATCAAACTTTACATCCGTACAAATCAGTTGCTTTGTGGTCAACTGTTTGAGAATGATGGAGGTATTTTATTGTTTATTGTTTGATACATGTTGCAACTGGCCCTAGTATTACCTTTTTTTGTGAAATATAACCATTTTTTGGAAAAACATTTTGCCACAACGCCATCTTGGATGTTTTCTAAGCACAATACTGAGCGTGTACAATACGACATCACACAAATACGTCACACGTATTTAAACTTTTTAAATATCAGTGAACATCCAGAAAACTACAATTGATGCACACTTTCTTTTAATAACAGAAATAACAGTTACTCCTGCTGGTTCTTGCAGGAGACCAAGCTGCTACCATCAAAACAAAATTTGGCATGTTTAGCCCTTCCTTTGGCTTAAGAAACAGGGTAATTTGGACTCCATTTCTTTTTTACTCGGTGTCGCTATCCGGCAGTGTCCCACAGAGTGTGCACTTTTACAAGGTTTTTTCTTTTTTGCATGCGATTTTGGAAACTGATGAGACAAGAGTAGATGCTGATGGTTGTGGACAGGAAGGATCTTCTGCAACAATCTGTATTACAATGAACGTGTAGAAGCCTCTGTCTGAATACCCTCTCTTTCATGACAGTCTCACAAAGAGGATGCTCAGGGTTGTCCATGATTTTCTTGATTTTATGAATAATCCTTTTTTGCACCATAATCTGCTTGTATGGCTGTGTAGGAATATAAATGTATGGACAGTGAACGACGTATGGGGAAGAAGGGCAAGTGTTGTGAAATTTTGTTTTTCTATTTGAAAATCTTTTTTTTTTGCTTTGCTTTATATGTGGACAAGATGAGGGTTTTGCCAAGCATCAAGCTGTTTGGTGCTGCTTGGTCAGAACACTGAGGTACTGTTTACTTGTTTGTGCAGTCAAGAAGGAATCATGATTAAATATTGATAAAACAGTGGCTGTAAAAAGGTCAGTGTGATTCTGAGGGCACTCTCTGGGGCCCTGGCGTTATGTATGAGTAATCATTTTCAGCGTCTCAGACTCGAGCCTTAAGTTTGAATAGAATGAGGATTTCTATGTATTAGTGAGGAATCCTGTCAGGATTTTGATTTTCAGCTTTCCCTTTGATAACAATAAATCTTTGTCTTCCACTTTCTCTGCTTTGCCCTTACTATATGTCGGTCCATACATCCATCCATCCATTTATCAATTGTCTATGTCCTTGCTGGGTTGTGAGGTTTCTGATACTTATTTCTAGTTATCACTGGGTAAGGGCAACAGAGAGACACGGGATCTACTTAGAACTACTTAACTCAACTGTCATAATTTTGGACTGTGAAAGGAAACTGAAACACCTGGACGGGAACCGAAACTTAAACGTATTTTATTGTCGTTTCGCCAACCAGATGAACAGACCATGGAGAGGATGGGTGGAATTGGAGAGGATCTGGTTTGCTCTGGCTAAAAAATGTCTGTGTGCAATCTTCTGGATAGGGGGGGAGTGGAGTCCCAATGATCCTCTCGGCTGTCTTCACCACTCTTCACAGAGACTTTCAGTCTGAGGCCTTGCAGCTACCAGACCAGTTGGAGATACTGCTGGTCAGCAGACTCTCAATGGTTCCTCTGTAAAAGGTGGAGAGGATGGGAGTCTCTCTGTCATTGCCCACATGAGCGTTGAAGCCACCCAGCAGAACAAGTGAGTCCCCAGTAGGGGCACATTCCAGTACCCCCTCTTTGGACTCCAAAAAGGGTGGGTAATCTGAACTGTTTGGCGCATAAGCACCAACAACAGTCAGAACCCGTTCCCCCACTCATAGGTGAAAGGAGGCTACCCTCTCGTTCAGTGGGGTAAACCCCAACGTACAAGCACCAAGATGGGAGGCAACAGTGCCCACTCCTGCCCGGTGCCTCTGTCCAACCCTTCCCCACCAGAGAGGTGACATTCCACATCCCAAGAGCCAACTTCTGCAACTGAGGATCGGATCACCATGGTCCCCAACCTCTGCCACCACCCATCCCACATTGCACCCGACACCTTTGGCCCCTTCCACAGGTGGTTAGACCATGGGAAAAGGGACCCCCTTCGCCTCTTCGGGCTGAGCCTACCCCATGGGTAAAAGCCCGGCCACCAGGCACTCGCCAGCACGCCCCACCTCCAGACCTGGCTCCAGGGTGGGGTCCCAGTGACCCGAGTCTGGGCAAAGGAACACAGTTTACAAAAAGGTCTTCTTCATCATAAGGGGTCTTTGGGCTGTGAAGACCCCTTATGTCTGGTTCCTCCTCTAGGACCGGTCTGCCTCAGGTGACCCTACCAGGGGCACGAAGCCTCTGACAGTATAGCTCCTGGGATCCCTGGGATACTCAAACCCCTCCACCACGATAAGGTGGCAAACTCTGAATCTGTTGGTAGTTCCACATACACGGTTAAAAACTAAAGGGGACCGGGTCTTTCGTATTTTAGGTAGTTTTACCTTTTTAACTAATTTTAGCTTTTATGTGGGGGTTTTCACATTTTATGGGGTATTTTAAAGCCAGCATTAGTATGTCAGCTGGCTTTAGCTTTTTAGCTAATTTTACCTTATAACAGTGGTCCCCAAACTTTTTCCTGTGAGGGCCACA